GAAAACAAGACCTAGCTGAGAATGAAACATCCTAACATTCACAGCTGCCCTCTAGAAACATCTGCAGAGGGACAGATCCCAACCTGCCCTCAGTTTTGCAAGGTTGCATCCCTGTTTAGCTAGGACACAGGTCTTGGTTCCTTATGTAGCAAGTGCCTTGTAAAACAGTATGACCTACTGTTCTTCCTTTTTTATTTAAATTTCAAGAAGATCTTACAATAAAGGTAGAGGGAAAGCAGAAAATGAAAGACATACCGTGGCTTCCTGAGCGTTTTTCTCCTCTACACGGATGCAAAGTCCTTCATTGGTTGTAACCATCTTCACACCCTCTTTTGTCTTCTCCTTCTGCCTCTTTCTCAGCTTACAGCTTTCCACATGCAGTTTTGGGGAAGATGATTTACCTGAAAACACCTCTTTTACTGTCTCACTTAGAACCTGAACAGTTCCTTCTGCATTATCCACAAGATGGACCTCCTTCAAGCTGCTGTCCCCCATGGATCCTTCCAAGGTCTCCTTGATGGCGGATGCAATTGATTCTGCACATGTCTGCAGTGGAAAGCCAAAAATGCCTCCGCTTATAGCAGGCAGAGCTATGGAACAACAATTGTATGTTTCAGCTAGTTCTAGACTTTTCTTCACTGCCTTTTTTAACAACCATATACACTTTTCTGGCTCTTCCTTCCTCCACCTGGGCCCAACAGCATGAATGACACTCTTGCAGGGGAGTTTCCCAGCGCCTGTGAGAACTGCGCTCCCGGGCTGGAAACGCCCGGTCATCCTCACCCGCTCATCGCACTCTTCTTGCAGTGCTGGACCAGCAGCTCTTGACAGCACCTCAGCAAGGCCACCGATGTGCCTTAGGTCTTCGTTAGATGCATTCACCACAACATCAACGGGATAATCACTCAAGTCACCTTTATACACTGCTACTACAATGCCATGTGGCAGTCTTGTTTTGTAGTACAGCTTTCTTTTCCCTTTATCACCCTCCCATTGCTGCTGTTTTTCTTCTTCTTCCTTGATCCTAATGAAACAGCTAAATTTCTGCTTTGCTTCAAAAACACATGAATCTTTTCTCTCAATGAAGAACTCTTTGGCTCCTGGCTTATCAATTGGCACATCTTTTGAGTAAAGGGATGAGACAAGGTTTTCAAACATCTTGACTGCTTCTGGCACTTCTGCTCTTGGTCCCCTCAGGGAAATACATGGTGTCTTGATATCAAAACATACTGTCACACCTTTCTTCCTCAAGTCACAATAAGCACCAGATTTCTCCTTCTCTATGAACTCTACCACCACTGAATTTGCTGGGATTATTTTTTCCACAAGTGTGTTTTTATCTATAAAATCATTAAGCTTCTGATAAACCTCTGTTACAGCCTTAGAAAAGCCAGCAATCATCACTTTATTTTCTTTTCCAACAGATTGCACAGTGATTACCATTTCCTGGGAAGAACTGTATGTCTCATGCAAGGAGGCAAGAAGTTTCTTCCACTGCTCTTTTTTAATGACCTCGCCGTCCTCCACATTGATGCACTTGGATTCTAAGCCGGTTTTTATTTGCTTTTCTGCTTCTAAAAGATCTCTGTGAGTATCTCCGTACAGCAGCACGGTATCCTCCTCAAGTTCATAAAAGCTATTAATTTTTTTCTGAAGGAATAACATATCTGATGTTTTTTTATTATCTAAATCCTGTAGATAGTGGAAAACAAGGGGTTCAATGGACACTGATGCACAAGGCATACTCAACACCTTTTCCAGTAAGTCAGCTTTGATTTTATAGACTTCTGCAGGCAATCCCCGCAACTGAACAGCCTTTTTTCTGTCATCATAACAGATCTTGAGGCACGGATATTCCTTGTGAATATTCTCTTCTAACCCAGCATTGTGCAGCACAGCATACTTCCCTGGGATCACCGGCACAGACATTTCTATGCTTTGTTTTTCCCTTTCACTTTGCTTCATGGCCTTTTCCATGCATTCCCTCACTTCCTTCTCCGCCCTCTCCACTGCTGCTCTGCTGCCTGCCATCACCACCACGTCCTCAGAAACATCAGTTACCATCAAAGAAACATCTTCCAACAACCTGTTTCTCACATCTCCCCAATCTGCAGGGTTTACTTTACATTTTATAGTTGTGTAACATGCCATGATACGTGAGAACTCAGTAGAAGCATCTTGCTTCCACGTCTTGATCAGCTTAATCATTGTCGTCTTCTGCTCGGAGAGAGATGACGATGGGCACAACGTGACTTTGGGGTTTGCACAGTGTGCCTGGGGCCACTTGAGCTCACAATGGCAAACTGCCATTTCCTGGTTTATGCCTCGGATCAGGTTATCGTGCCTTTGTAAAAACTGCCAGACATATGGGTCTAGTGGCACCCCAACGGGGTCTGGCATCCTGATAGTTGGTCTTTCTCCTCCGTAGAGAGCTGTTCCCAGGGACTGGTAATAGGGATGCACAGAAATCAGCGTCTGTTCCAGCAAATGCTTCTTTTCCAAGACCGTGTTTACCTCTGAAAGGCAATGCATATATATACACACATACAGATATTATTAACTTAAGTTATTCAGAAAGTCACTATTAAAACTGAAGTCATGGACAGAGCCTGCTCTCTCTACCTGTAGGTACAATTAGTGTTGTATTGCAGACAAAGACCTCTGCAAATGGGGAAAAAACACTACTGCAAACAAGCCATGCACAAAGCAGGTATTAAAAGGAATCTTTCATAAGATAAAGAAACACCAAGAAGAAACCAAACCCAGCAAAATCACAGGAGATTCTGAAACCCTAGACATGCAGCAGTATTGCTAAATCCAGAGCACTCAGGAAGAAGGCAGCACACGCTGACTTTGGGGACAGCAAGCCAGGCTTTCCCTAATGACCGAAGCTGCAGTGATTTGCTTGCAGGTTGTCTGCCTATGAGCACTTGGTCAGGCACAGGACAGGGTTACCTTTGG